TAGAAAGACAGCTTAATATAATGGTTAAGAGCACAGTTTGAAACCTAGCCTATTGGGGTTCAGATCTGAGCTCTACCAGTTACTATCTGTAGGGTCTTGAGCAAATTATTTCATCTATGTGTAACTCAAACTCCTTATCTGTAAGAGGGTAATAATAATAAACTCTACATCATAGGATTGTTATGAATATTAAATGAATCAGCATCTGCAATGTGTTTAGAACAGTGCCTGATACAAAATAAATCCTATGGCCCGGCTGGTGTGGCTCAGTGGTTGAGTGTCGACCCATGCACCAAGAAGTTGCTGGCTCAATTCCCTGTCAGGGCACATGCCCAGGTTGTGAGCCAAATCCCCAGTTGGGGGCATGCAGGAGGCGGCGAATCGCTCTCTCTCATTGATGTTTCTATCTCTCTTCCTCTCTCTTAAAAATCAATGAAGAGCCCTGGCCGGTTTGGCTCAGCGGTTAGAGCGTCCACCTGCGGTCCGGAGAGACCCTGGTTCGGTTTCCGATAAGCTCATGTACCTCGGTTGCAGTTTGTCCCCGGCCCTGGTTGGTTGTGTGGGTGGCAGCCACTCGATGTGTCCCTTTCACATCGATGTTTCCCTCTCTCTCTCTTCCTCTCTCTCCCTCCCACTCTGTCTGTACAAAAAATGGAAAAATGTCCTCGGATGAGGATTAAAAAAAAAAAAAATCAATGAAGAAAAAAAAAAAAAAACCAGAAGAAAAAATCCCACAAAAAATAAGATAAGACCTATGTAAATGGGTGGGGGAGAACTTTTTATCCTCTGGTGGGCTGAGACAGATCTAAAGGCTAATTCTATTTGGGCCATATTCGATGTAAAGATCACTAGTTGCTTGGCTTTGTGTTTGTTGCTATTTTCAAAATATGGAGACCCTTACATTTTAAACAACCATAGTTTCAAAGAAATGGGTAGCCTACTGTCAGTTACGGACTCTGACTTGTGCATGTGGGTTTACGGATGTGTATGAGTTGAGAGTAGGGCGTGGTGTGTGGGTTCCACATGTATACAGAAGCAGAAAAGCAGAGTGCAGAATATTCTGCTTATTTCAGGGACCCATTTTACCATCCTAGTACTGTTTTCCTGCCAGCCAGGAATCCCCTGGTGCAATGCCAGCCCTGTCTATTCATCTTTCGTTACCAGGGCGCCTCAGTTCCTCAGTGAATTTCCTTTTCATTCATTTTCAAATGACTTCTCTGATATGAGCATTGTTGAATATGCACAAGATTGAGGCAGAGGTATGTGTATGGATAGATTTACATAACTATAAATACAGTATATGTACCCATATTTAAATAATATAGTGATAATATAATGTTGCCACCTCAGAGTGAAAGCTGATTAATTCAGCTATTGAGATGATAATGATTTCTTTCTCAGTTAATATCAGAGTAAAAAAAAACCTGCAGATTTTTCCTACACATTGTTCCTTTGACTCGTCTTGACTCATCTAGGAGTTTTATTTCTGTTAACTCTTGAGCTACCTGACAGTGTCAAAGGAAATTGTTTTTGGCAGGGGCTGATGATTAGTAGAAAGATTGACTCAGGTAGGCTAAAGTGGTCACTGAGCTCAATGATTTGGTACCAGAAAAAAATTATTTTTTGCCTATAGTCTCTTTTAAAATGCATACTTTGGTATTTGCACTCCCAATATCAACTTTGATCTGAAGCACAGCCTTTTTTAGGCTTTCTGTGGTTGAATTTGACATTTAGGAAAATGGTAAGATCTTTTCCTTCAGCCTCTGGTTACATAGTTAGTTACTGAGCCCTGATTATTCCTCATTTTCCTCCTCCCTTTTCTCACGACCCCCCCATCAAGTCCAGGCCTTGATCATCTCTTGGCTGTTGAGTCTCCTGTCTCCAGTCTCCCTGTTCTCCCTTTCTTCCCCTTGTACCAAGGATTCTTTCCAAATTGCAGGTTAGGTCATACCCTCCCCTGCCAGAACCCAAAACCCTTTAATGGCTTCTCTTTCTCCACAATAAAGACTCAACTCCTTAGGGTGGCATTCAAGAGCACTTAACCCCATTCTGCCCACCACGTTGCCTTGACCCTTTCCCACTGATTTCACTGCTCACGCTAACCTCCCATCAAGATAGATTATTCAGACTTCCTTGGCATTTCTGTAACCCCCTGCCTTTGCTCATTTCCCAGAATGCCCTTCCTTCTTCACAGTCTATGTTTCAAAATCCTACTTATTCTCCAAGATCCAGCTCAAATTCTACTTCCCTCATTGCTTCTGTCCTGATTCCCCCTACTCAGAATTAGTCAGAGTTATTTCCAGCCCATATAATGCCTTTTCCTCAAGGCACTCGACGTCCACCTATTGGGAAATTGTCCTATTGGACTTAGTTTACTAGAATAATCTGTATTGCCTTCTGCTGGAAAGAATGTCTTAACAAATATGTAAATCTCCATGTCTGTGATGCAATTGCCACCTGCCTCACCTTAACTTGGACACAGCCTTCACCAACATATAGTTTGGCCCTGAAGTGATCCCTTTTCATCTACATTCCAATAATTTATTGTTCCACTAGCCATCTTGCCATCCTCTCTTGTATTATGCTGGGATTTACTTCTTTGTCTTCCCACTGAGTTGGGAGCATTGAGGACAAGAATGCCTTACTCATCTTGGTATCTCCCCGGTCGGAGAATGCAGATTTCAGACCGTAGATACTTATTATTAAATTATTCTACTCTCTTGTCACCCAACAGAGGCTATGGTAATAGACATAGTGCTTAGGACTGTGGGCTTTGCCCACCTGGGTTTGAATCTTCCTAGTCCATTTGTTAACCATCTGATCATGGCCAAGTTACTTAACCTCTCCGTGGCTTTTTTCCTTCATCTATAATATGGGAACCCTATTATTATCTTCATCATAAAGTAGATATGAGTACTAAATAACTACATGCAGGTAAAGTAGTTAGAACAACAGCAAATGAGTACGTAATACATGTTAAAGATTACTCCAACAGGCTGTTGAAAGGGGAAGGACTCTTATTGTCTCGATTTTGGCAGAGACGTGAAGACAATAGATGCTACATCCCAAAGTGAGCCCCCCTGACAGTGGACAGTAAAACTACTGAAAGTGCTCACCTACGTGGCGGGTGTGAAGTGGGCAGGAGCTGGGCAGTGCAGAGCCGTCCATGGCAGAGCAGGGCCGCTCGAAGATCTGGCGCGTGGGACTAGTGTGCTGTGAACCCCACCCCCCCACTGGGAAGGCGTGAACACGGGGTGTGAGTGTTGCCCGCTGGGGTCCACCACCGGAATCCATAGCACTTTTGTGAGAATTAGAAAAAGGTGCCCCCACTTTCCCAGATAAAATCTGTATACCAAGGAGGGCCTTCTGCCCGAGCCCAGTGAAAGTGCTTTCAACAGGATCACCTAGGAGCTTGACACGGATCCCCTGAAGCTAGGGGACTGCAAACTGGCCTCTGACTTCACCTGAGAAGTTGAAGGGGCAAAGGAAGGGTGACTGACTGCTTATGGATAAGTGGGAGAGGTCTCTCTGCCCCGGAGAATCTGCTGGACCACAGAAAGTCGGGCGGGCATCGGAGTGCAGAAGGGGGCGGTGAATGTCCAGATCCCTGGATGCTGAAGGAGACAGGGCCGTGGGCTAGAACAGAGGTGTTCCTGCCCTCATCAGGGAGTTGCAGAGGGACGTATCCCAGGGATGGGAGGCGTTCTCCAAAGAGCCCCACCCAAGGAAGAAAGTCAATTGCAGAGACGTGCTAGCTTTAGAAGCCTGCTTCTGACAACGCAGGCCAGTGCTGTAGGTACTTTCCTGTCACTTTTCCCCTTGCCCCCTGCCATCCTCTCCTTACTTGCCACTCCACCTTGACTCTGGGAGTATCAGGAACTGTGCTTAGCCGGAAGGGGGACAAAGAGTAGAAGTGGGACGTGTGGAGAAGGAGAAGCAGAAGGGAAGCTGGTCATCTCCCCTCCCCAGCTCTGGACAGCTGAACTGTGGCAGTTGCGGCTACACCTTTGCAGGGCAGATGTTTGCTTTTAAGTCAAGGTTGGCGTTTTTATTATTATACCCAGCTGGGCATATTAAGTACTGAATTGAAAGCTGTTTTAAAAATATTTATTTATTTTAATTTTTATTAATTTATTTTTGTTACAGATGCTTCTCCTTTCCTCCCCTAGACACCCTCCTCCCCATCTCACCCCCTAACCCCCCAGCATTGTTGTCTGTGTCCAATGGTTATGCATGCATGCATATAAGTTCTTTGGTTCATCTCATCCACCACCTCTCCCCACCCCGTCCCCCTACTCTGAGGTTTGTCAGTCTGAACCATACTCCTTTCTATGTCTCTGGGTCGATTTCATTCATCAGCCCACTTATTCATTATATTCCACAAAGAAGTGAGACCATGTGGTGTTTGGCTTTCTCTGATTGGCTCTGAATTGAAATCTTGAATGTGACCTCTCCCCATCTGCCTGGTAAACAGCAACTCATTCTCCAAGGCTTAGGTCAACGCTCACTTCCGAGTCTGACCTCTTCCTCCAGAACTGACCATTCCCCCTGCCTCCTCTGCCCCAACTCAGAGCAGAAACGCTTAGTTTTACGTGTTCGGGTCTTTGCCTGGCTTTGCGCTCAGCGAGCCTGTAGACTCTAAGAGCGTAGGGATGACTTACTCCCTTTGTACCAATAGCACCTGGAATAAGTACCCTGGCACATAATTGACCTGCCGTGAAGATGTAATGAACATAATTTATCTTGAAAACTAACTAAGATTTGTCCTAAGAAAGGTTATCACTGAAACATGCCTTTATTTTTGAGAGAGAAACGAGAAATAGCAGCTTTCTGGACGATGCAGTGCAGTTGAAAGCCCTTGTCCACAGTACCCACAAGGACGCCTGGCTGCTGCTCCCCAGGGGTCGGTGAGAAAGCGCTCGGGCACCTCAATCGGAACGTGTTTTTCTGAGTAGAAGGTGTGAGGAGACTCTTGACTCCTTTCCGTGTTCCTTCCCCAGGTTTCTTCAGGAGAAGCATTACCAAAAATGCCGTGTATAAGTGTAAAAACGGAGGCAACTGTGTGATGGACATGTACATGCGAAGAAAGTGTCAAGAGTGTCGACTAAGGAAATGCAAAGAGATGGGAATGTTGGCTGAATGTATGTATAGAGGTATTCACATCAAGCAATTAAATTCCACTAAATATCTCTTAAGAAGTCAGATGTCAGGTAACTCATCTCATTAGAATGGTGTGTCACGTTTTAAAGAAAGGACTTACTAAGCCGTCTTGAGTTCTTGAAAAGGATAATGAACCATAAGGTTGTTCACACTGTCAGCTAAACAGCATTCTATCCACCGGGAAGAAACAGCCATGTTTTGTTGTTCATTGTTGCAGCGAGTTAGACGTGGAGTGAAGTGACATTATTTTAATAAAGGACAAAGAAAGGCAATCTAAATGTTTCCCCCAAATTGGATTTAATACCTTTTTAATTATTGTTTAATTAGCACAAAAATTCACAGTGGAGGGAAACATTAACAATAAGGCACAACTGCCTCTGATTGTCTAAATAGAGTTTTAGACCCAGTCGTTTTATTAAGAATCCTTCTTTTTTTTTTTTTTTTTATTGTTGCAGCTCTGAACCAATTTGTATAGGTTTACACAGGAAATTAACTACCCTGAGTTTTAATATCATTTGGTCCTTCAATCTGATTAAAAAAAAAAAAAGACACTGTATTAACTGTTGGCTTTGTGAGAAACCATAATCTTCATCAACATTTGGAATGCATGCAAGTCTATAACATATTAATTTTTCATTCTGCAAATTCCACAGACCACTCAGATTCTGAGATATGTCCTGTTCCCCCTCAAAACACAAAGAGACAAACAAATGTCACCAAGGGGACGATAACAGTCAGGGAAGGAATGCCATATAAAATGAGAGCCCGTGGAAGGTGATTCCAGTTCTATTGTCCCCAAACTGTACAGGCAGCTGGGATGGACCCAGAGAAATGATGCGTGCAGGAGGCAGAAAATAGGTCAGTGTAAATAATCCAGCTCCGGGAGGATGAAAGTTTTATAGTGGCCGATCACAATCTCCTCTTAGCATATATGAAACCAGAGACTGTAATAGGGGCTGCTACTGGAATCCAGTCTTGCCATGGAAACAATTACTGCGATACGGGGCGGTTCAAGTGGCTCATCACTTAAACATGAACTTGTCCCAGCCGAAGCACGGAGGACATTTTTCATGACACCACCTATAAGCTTCTATAACATCATGAAAATGGATTTGTCCAGTAAGAGATGCAGAACTTTCATATGATCCTAGAAACTGAATTCCCCCGACAAAGAAATTCCTGGAATTTAGTTTCATTAACATTGAAAGGATGAGGAAGTTAAATGGGAATATGGAAGATCATTCTACATTATTTTTTTATAGCTCCGTTTTATGTATAAATTAATGATGATATTATATGATTATTCAAAAGAAAATTTCTAAGTCCCTTGAGTTATTTTCAACTTTAAGTATGTTCTCAATAATTTATACAGTCCTGAAAATGGACAGGATTTGACATTTTTCCTAAAGGATCTTGACATTTGTTTTATTCAACATGTTTATGTGTTTTGTTTGCTTTTAAAATATTTTTGTTGTTTTTGTTAATCCTCACCTGAGGACATTTTTCCATTGATTCTTAGAGTGGAAGGCAGGGAGAGAGGGAGAGAGAAAGAGAAACATCAGTGTGAGAAAGATACATCAATTGGTTGCCTCCCGCATGACCCCGACCAGGGCTGGGGATTGAACCTGCAACCCAGGTATGTGCCCTTGACCAAGATCAAACCCACAGCCCTTTGGTCCACAGACTGACACTCTAACCACTGAGCCAAATCAGCCAGGGCTACTTATGTGTTTAATGTGAAATTGAATACATGTTTTATGGTGCAGTTATGTAAACACGCATGAAAAATAATATCAGTACTATGTCTTGAAACAATAACTTTCAAAGTTCCCTGGGACAGGAATAGGGAGTGTCAGTCTTCATTTTACTGATCAAATACCTTACATTTGTACAATGCTTTGGCATTACATCTTTATAAAAGGCTCATTTTTGAAAAAATGACATAACATCTCATGTACACAGAACACTGCAAGGTAGATATTATTCTCATTTTACAAATGAAGAAACTGAGACCCACGGAGGACACATTTTTTGTTCAAGGCCAAGCCTAAACCGTCAGAAGGGCTAGAATTGGCTCTATGCCAATTGCATGGGCACTCTCATGCGCCGACTGCATCTCAGCTGCCCCGTGACCACCCAGCCTACAGTCTTTTCTGTGCTTGGTTAAGTCTCTGTGTTTATTTTTTCAGGCTTGTTAACTGAAATTCAGTGTAAGTCTAAACGGCTGAGGAAAAACGTGAAGCAGCATGCAGACCAGACCATTAATGAAGACAGTGAAGGACGGGACTTGCGACAAGTGACCTCGACAACGAAGTCATGCAGGGTAATAACACGCAACGGTGTCTGCCAAAGCCGCCGCCACTGAGCTCCTAGGCATGTAGTGATCTGCTTGGGAGACCTTCCCATGCAAGCCAAAGCTAGGAGCGGAATTTCATTTCAGTTGGACATTAAATGGGCTTCTTTCTAAGCAAGAGAGGAATGCACTCTTCTGCGTAAAATTCAAATGCCAGCCGTGTATCAAGCGAAAAAGTGAAAGTTCTCCTCCCTGGCTCCGTTCCGTTCCTACTATTCAGAGGTTGCCAGTGAAAATGGCTTGGTGTATAAAATGGATTTTTCTTTTTTTTTAATGGATTTTTCAAATTTAGTTTTGATGATGATTTTTTCCCTGCCAGTGAGAAGGGGGTTCAGACTGGGAAGGGTGTGGACTCAGTAGAGGCTTGCGAGTTAGTCTCTATCGATGGGTAAAACAGGTGATGCCCATCTGTGTACCTACGGAGAATGCTCCCAGGAATCCTTTGAGCAGCAGGGACAAATAGAGGAACAGCATCTCATATGATTAGCTAAACAAACCGATAATGCCCAGGGCAGTTCAAGGAATTTTAATTTGCCCTCAGCTGAAGAACCAAGAATCTGTTTTTATTCAAGTCCCACCCTTCCCAATGTTTATTACACTGCTGACAAGGAAAACTTCATCCACATTAAGTTTCTCAGATGTCTTATTTTAGGTTTAGTTCGGAAAAATTATTTTACATGAAAGTATTATTTTGCCATAGTGCTCCGTCAGTAGTAACACTTTGGTATAAGGAAGCAAAGAATTAACAAAATTCTTCACTTTCTTCCAAAGGCAAGGGAGCAAGAGATGTTTAGGGCAGGAATTGTCCAGACTGGTGACTTTCTGTTTCTGGGGTCAGCTATTTTTTTCTGTAAAGGGTAAATATTTTAGGCTTTGGTCACATGGTCTCCATTTCAACTACTCAACGTTGAGTAGCACCAGTCATACACCAACCAGTGAGTTGGTTGTCTTCCAGAAGCTTTACAAAACCAGGTGGATTTAGTCCATGGGCCCCAGTGAGTCAGCCCCTGGTCTACATAAATATCCTCCAATGGAGTCTCCATGTTATATGTGGGAAATTTTCCTTAGTTATGACTAAACCTTGAACTTTCCCTGAACTTCTCTCTGACTGGGCTCAATTGGCTTTGTATCTAGATTATTAGTTACAGTGAAATCTCGGTTCTCGAACTTAATTTGTTCCAGAAGGCTGTTTGAAAATCCATTTGTTCGAAAACGGCATCATTTTTTTCCCACTGGAAATAATGTAAATTGAATTAATTCGTTCCAGATCCCCAAATGATTCCGTTTTAAACTTTCTTAATTACAGTGCACGTCTAATGTACTGTTTAATCTCTAAACAAACACATCTTTTCTTAGATGTATGGAACCACCTCTACTCCCCTCAGACGAATCACTTGCAGCACTCCAGCTGGGGTGTCTTTGAGGGTCAGCGTGTGGCTTCTCTGCTTGCCGTCACTGCTGGCTGTCACTGTCGTTTTTCCAAAACAGAAACACTTTTTCTACCTCTTGAATTGCCTGTGATCATTGTTTCTTTCACACTCTTAGCAACATTAGAACTCTTGATGGCCTCTTTATGTTTTAAAATTGTGCCAATTGTCCATTTTGCCAGCAACAAAAGCAAAAAACAAAAACAAAAAACAACAAAAATAGTCACAGCACAATTTCCTGAGATGTCAGCAGTACACGGACTCGTACTGGTGCATTCTCTCCTTTGTAGGTGGTCTGAGAGATGCTTTTCCTTATGCTGATGTATCAGCTTGAAAGAATTGTCAGGTCGAAAAACAAAGCTTGTTCAACAACTGAGACTGTTTTCCATGAACAACTTGGTATGGAACCGAATTGTTTGAGATGAGAGTCGTTCGAGAACCGAGGTTTGACTGTATTCCTAAGAAATACATGAAAGAAATATTTTGTTTTCCCTATTTTACTGAAAGGAGAATGAGTAGCTTGGGGCAAATTTAGTGAAATATGACATGGCTTTCCCAAGGACGCAGAGAAAATGATGACACATTATATCAGAGTGTATAGTTCCTGCCACATTTAGGGCTTTTCCCAACAATTTCTGATACTAGTTTACTCCAGATGACTGCATATATATATATATGCTTCATAGCCACTCTCCCTAACACCTTTTATTTTTTTGCCAGTGTAGGAGAAAACTGAACTCACCCTGGATCAACAGAATCTTCTACATTATATTATGGATTCATATAGCAAACAGAGGATGCCTCAGGAAATCACAAATAAAATTGTACGTACACTATCTGAAAATGCATGGGTTTAAAGTTAATATTTTATGGGGCTTTTACTATGCTGGAGGTGGAATGAATATAGAAATATGTTACTTTGAAATGATTAGAGCTGAGAATTTAAGTTATACATTTAAACTTTTAGCTGCATGAAATAACTACTAAGAAGTCTCATATCTATCTTGGTAACAGTAATTGCTCTCCCAGGATCTGAAAAATATGAGCTGGGTCTTTAAATGTTATCTAAGTCTGGTTCTTTAGCCTAATGATTTTATATTGTTTTATCCTTCTATCTACTTATTAATCACTTGCTTTTTTCTTAAAATTCAGTTAAAAGAAGAATTCAGTGCAGAAGAAAATTTTCTCATTTTAACTGAAATGGCTACCAGTCATGTACAGATTCTCGTAGAATTCACAAAAAAGCTGCCAGGTACCTTACATATAGTTACTTCTCTGCTCCACTGTGCAATATTCTGTGACATTTAGAGAAACAGGTCTGTTCATTGCAAAAGGAGAATGATCTCACCTCTGGTTTAATGTGTCTACTATAGACGTAACATGTTAGAGCCAGATAGGAATTTAAAATCATTTATGGTAACTCTTCCAAGTGATAAATTGGGAAACTGAGACTTTGCAAAGTTGTAATTCATCCATTTATTCATTTAATAGTAAATGTTTGTTGATACCTACTCTATACTGAGTACTTAGCTATTACCTTCAAGGAGAGTGATTAAAGACTATAATTTTTGAAAAGTGTATACAAAGTGCTGTTTGAACAGTGGGGGAGTCATTGCTGACTGTATTTGAGAAAGACAGGAAGGCTTCTGAGAGAGTCATATTTGAGTTGGGTCTAAAACAAAAAGGAGTTTTAGATGGCATGAAGGAGAAGGGGCATTTGAAGTCAAGAAATCTGCTTGTCAAAATATGAGTCGTGAGCAAGAGTAGAATTATTAGAGATGGGAGAAAGAATCCAGTGTGGTTGTAGCATAACGTCTGTAGCTCCTTGGCCAGATATAAGGTAAATTGGTACCAGGCTTAGTAGGCCTGAACTAAGAGTTTTAATTCTCATCCCCTGGGTGATAAAGAGTTCTTGGTGGCTTTATTTTTTTTGAGAAGGAAATGATGAGGTTTATGTTATAGAGATATAACTTTATCTGGCTTGCATTAGATGGATTTGAACAGGGAGGCTCTGGAGGTAAGGAGGACCAGTCCAGGCAAGAGGGCTTGAAATAAAGCAAGAGCAGTGGAAGAGAGGATAGGAAACAAGAGAGATTTTAAAATGATAAGACTTGAACAAGTGTTCGTCATGTGTGGGATGAGGAGGAGGGATTTATCCACAGTCACTCTGATGGTGCCCGTACAAGGAACTAGAATGCAAGATTGTTGTCTCCCAGGCTCCAATTCTTTTAGACACAATTTCAACGAAATCTAAGTTGATACATTTAAGTTGTTCTAAATATATATTAGTATATTAAAATCTCATGTCTAGAAGAATATGATAAATACCTTGTATAGCTACATAACACTGTAATATTAAATTATAGGAGGTAACTTCTGACATAGGATTTTAATTAAACATGCTAATTTGCCTTCTTTTGCCAGCATCATGGTATTATTTTATTAAATGTGTCATGGATAAGCATAAGCCTACATAAAAGTCATAAAATGTGGGAAGAAAATTCTTGTTATCATTTCTTTACTAACAATGAAAGAGGAACTTAATTTGTTATATGCTAATTAAACTAAAGGCAATCTTGATCAAAATCGAGATTACGCAAGAGTTAAAAACTGTGGGAGGAGACATTAGAAAGAGAGAAATATGATGGTTTTTCTTTTGTTGTTTATGGGAAAAGATTTTTTAGGTCAAATGGTCAGTTGGTCTTGAACCAAGAAATAATTGAAGACAAAAAAAAAAAATCTTACTCATAATGAGGTAGCTTATCCGAAAGCAATGGGAATATCTTACACAATTCTTTAATCCGTGCCTGGCCTAGTTTCTGAGGGAGAGAAAGAGTACAATTAATGTGAGTTTAATTTGCAAAACAAAAAGGAAAAATGAAAATACAGAAGAAAAGGCCACCAGCCCTTGAAAAAGAAAAATGTTTTAACAATAATTATAGAAATGATGTTACGAATAGTAGTAACAGTCATTCCCTTCTGTAGTTCATGGAGTATAACCTGTGCTGGGCCCTGTCCAGGGTGCTAGAGACCTAGCGCGTCTCCCGAGATTCTCTAAAAACAGTGACATTACTTCTTTCTCCTTAGCGTTACTCTCTTCTCTAAACTCCAATTGCTACTTAATACTTTGCTAAGCCATTTAGACCTGCAAGCATTATTTTATCTCTGTTCGTGGTGTGTGTGTGCGTGTACACGAGCTTGTGTTTGGTTCCCATTCACTCAGTCATTTCCCCACCCTGAGTGATGTAGTGCTGAGCTCAGAGACGTTTCCTCAACATGACCTTGATTAGTTTTTTAAATTGGAAATGCTACCCATTCTCCAGATTGACTAAAGATTCATAAGTTGTTCACATATTCCTTTAAATCTCTGGATACATGTACAGATTTTTCTGACTTGTGGATACTTCCCTTCTGCAGTGTTGACCTGTGACAGCAGATGTAATTAAACAATGGCTTAAAGAGAATCTGCTTGCCTCTAATTTTTGAGGGTTGCTTCATCTGTATCAGCCTGTCTCTACCATAATATATACATATTTGATGCGAGTTTGACATCCTCTTTTGCCAGACTTGTTTATCAAATCCTACTCAATGAAGATAAAAGTCAGCTTCTATTTGGAAGAGAACAATAGATACATATTGACTCAACTTGTCTACCCAATCATAAAGCAACTACACAATAATTTTATGAAAATGTTTTATCAGTGAGGATCGTGGTGATGATGAAATACTGTGGTACCACATTCACAGCTCCTTGATACTGATTTGCTTATTGTCTTCAGGATTTCAGACACTGGACCATGAAGATCAGATTGCTTTGTTGAAAGGGTCTGCAGTTGAAGCAATGTTCCTCCGCTCAGCTGAGATTTTCAATAAGAAACTTCCAGCTGGACATGCTGACCTATTGGAAGAGAGAATTCGAAAGAGTGGTAAGTGGTTGGTTAGTGGTAAAGAGAGTTTGCTTCTGCAGGTAAGAATTTGTACAGCCCATGAAGGCAGGCCTCTTGCCTGTCTTATGCAATGTTACATGCCCATTATGACCAACATGGAGAATGGCTCTATAAAAATATGTGTTAAATAGATGAGATTTTTAGAGTCTTGGTACAAAAATCCTTGTTGCAACAGCAAAATATGAGAATATTCTTTTCACTGCACTGAGATGAAGGGCCACAGGAGGGATTTTTAAAAAATTGGAAAATTATGCCCTGGCCAGTTTGGCTCAGTGGTTGGAGCATTGGCCTGTGGACCAGAGAGTCCTGGGTTCGGTTCCTGCTAGGGGTACATACCAAAAAAAAGGGGGGGGAATTAGTTTGATAAAAAATATAGCATAAAGGAGCTGTGGTTATTCAGTCCAGAAAAAAATTCATTCATTCAAAGCCTCCAAGTCTGAATGCCTATGTAGCAAACTATTATCAATCTTTATTCAACAAAAAATAAGAAGAAATAATAATAGCCACAATTAGATATCATTTACTATGTTTCAGAGATACTGTTCTAAATACTTTGCATATATGATTCCATTGAATCTTTGAAAATATCCTATGAAATAAGCACTATTATTGTTCCTGTTTTATAGACAAAAAATCCACGTGTCTCAAACACTGTGCTGTACTGTCTGTCAAGAGATAAATGAAATAATAGTATGAGTAACTCAGTTTAACTTGTCATAGAAGAATATTGTAACACGGAGGGTCAAGTGAAAGCAAAATGTTCAACAAAACAAAACAGAAACAGACCCATAGAAACAGAGAACAAGATGATGGTTGCCAAAGAGGAGAGGGTGGGAGGATGGAAAAAAATTGTGATGCAATAAATAATAATATTAATATTAATAATAATAAAAGAGAGACATCAGAATGAATTACCAGAAATTCTATGCAATTTATCTTAGAAGATACTTAAAATAGGATACGTTCTTATTTTCCTGAGAGATTTTATATATAGGTTGGGAGTATGAATGAGATAAGATGACTTTTGAAGATTTTGTTTCTTTTTTTCAAAATAATTTTTCTTTATTGATTTTTAGAGAGAGAGGAAGGGAGAGGGAGAGAGAGATAGAAGCATCGATGAGAGAGAACATCAATTGGCCACCTCCTGCATGCCCCTCACTGGGGATCTGGCCCACATCTTGGGCATGTGCCCTGACCAGGAATCAAACCAGCAACCTCTTAGTGCATGGGTCGACTTTCAACCACTGAGCCACACTGGCCAGGTAAAGATTTTGTTTCCTAAAGTATCATTATCCTACAATTGACTGGAACATGTTTAAATACTCATAAAGCCAATATTCTAGAATAGGAATTGGAAGAAAGGTTTTCAGGCATTTCTGCATCTGTGATATCAGTAAAATAATAAAAAATTTAAAATTATTTTTAAAAGCAGCTTTGCATAGTCATTATGTTTTCTCCTCTTAGTTTAAAACTGAAAGCATAGTTAGTATCATTGGTAGATTTGAAAAACACTTTTAAAGACACATTACTCCTATACTTTCATTGATTTTTTTTTTTTTTTTTTTTGGTTTAACAACTCCGTAAGAGCAAGGTACTATGGTGGTAGTGAAGAGAGGACTCAGATATGTTCTTTCCCCTTGGAAGCTTACAGTCTAGTGCGAGGATATAAACTAGAGAGATATGTAAAGAACTAGTTAAAATAAAATGTGGAAGAGAATAACAGAGAGAGATGACTTCCAGTTGGAAGGGGTCGGGAAAGGTTTCATTGGCATTTTTGCTGGACCTTGAATGACATTTGGTGTGACACTCAGAGTGGAGGTGCAGGAGGTAAGGACCACAGGAGCAGAGGACTGAGGCAGAAAGCGTAGGTTATGCACACAAAGAAGGGTGAGTCATTGCGCTTGATTGAATTAAGAATTGTATTAAAAAGAGATAAAAATACATATATAGTTAGAACTAAGTGGTTGAGGACCTTGAATGCTGGACTAGAGATTTTATTCTTTATTTCCGACATAATGGCGAGATGTGGAAGATTTTTGAGTGGAAAGGGAAAACATCAAATTATGCTGTACAAATCTTCCAGTAATATTAGGATAAGCCAGGATGGGAGACACCTGGTAGGAGGCAGGAGGTTTCAAGGATGTGACCCCTCCTGCTGGGAGAAATAGAGAGGAAGGGAAGGTTCTGAGAAAAAAATGTTATTGCAGCTTTTTGCCCTTTGAAAGACATTGTGTTGTTGAGAAATATGGATTCTAGTCCTGGACAGATTTTATCACTTACCTGTTCTGGGTCTTCATTATTGTGTGTATGCGTGTGTGTGTGTCCAGGAGACTGGGGGTAAGGAAGAAGGGTTGAACCAGGTAACCTCCAAGGCACCATCCAGTTCTACAATTTGTATTGCTTTTCTTCTCTTAATTCTTCTCAATAAATTTTTCTGACTGATGGTTTAGCCAGTCACTCAGCCAGCTCCTTAAGTATCTTTGTTTTTTTATTTTTATTTTATAGTGGTAAAAACATTTAACATGAAACCTACCCTCTTAACAAACATTTAAGTGGTATTGTTGATGATACATACAATGTTGAACAGATCTCTAGAATTATTCATCTTGCTTAACTGAACGAACCTCTATACCCATTGATTAGGAGGAGGAAATAAGTAGTTACCAATAAATGGGCAAGTATCTTGATTTTAAAGTTACAGTTAGTAATAGACAGTTCATCTTTGGAAGGAGTTAAGGATGCAAGCTGCTGAATTTTCATAGTCCAGGCCATTGGATGTAAATTAGTGGTTCTCTCTATGCAGAAAATTGTTGTGGCTGTGGTCTGTGATGGATGAATCCTCTCCAGCTTAACTTAACAGCTATTTGGTCCTGGTTTCCATACACTGTGACAGTGCTCTATTTAAGAAAATTCATGAGTCAAATAAAAATGGATGACGAGCTGGGCTGGTGTGGCTCAGTGGATTGAGCATTGTCCAATGACTGAGAGGTCTTGGCTTGATTCCCAGTCAGGGTACATGCCTGGGTTGTGGGCTCGATCCCCAATAGGGAGCATGCAGGAGGCAGCCCATCGATGTTCATCTCTCACATCAATATTTCTGTCTTTCTCTCTTCCTCTCTCTCTCTCTCTTAAAAAAAAAAAATGACTCATGTGACAATATATTTTTAATGTACAGATATGTCTCTTTAACTATCAAGGATCTTACTCTGGTTGATGTGTTCTTGGTTTCTCCATGAAGAGACAGTGGTGATTAAGAATCTAGCCTGAATCTAGGCTCTGCTACCTACTAGCTGTATGTCCCATTTTTCTTGTTGTTGTTGTTAAAAACTATTGAAATAAATCCCGTAACTAGTTTGATCTCTTTGAAATCATGTCTAATTTTAATCTGGACTTGATATGAAAACTCCATAGACAGGGGCTGCCTCTTTTTGACTTAGTATTTTATCCTAGGTACCTAGTACATGCCTGGCTTGAAGTGGGTGTTCAGCAAACATCTGTGAAATGAATAAGTGGATGGGTGGATGGATAGATGGATGAATTATTATCTTGAAGCTATGAGTCTGGGCCATTTATTTTCTTTCAGATGGTTCTTCTCTTGAATATAGAACCACTCCACTCATCTCTGCAGGTCTAGTCCTGCCCCAGGCTCAGCAAACTCTGGGGAGCCCAAACTGCATCTAATTTTAGAAACTTGGTTCAGCCTTGTTCCTTGTGACAATCCCTGCCTTCCTGTGTGAGTCCATTTGGTGACTCAGAAAGGCTTTCAAAGTTGACAAGTAAATCATGGAGAATGATCAGAAACGTGTCGAGCCACACAAGTCTGAGAAAGGCATTCCAAGATATATAGCATTATAATATAATAATGTAGAAAGTTCAGAAAGGTGAAGGAACAAAAGAGCATCCATGTAGAAGACTCACAAGTACTTTAATATTAGAAAATAATATTCATGGAGCTGAAATTGTAGTAAGTGTGAGATTATTAAGGGCATTGAATGCCACAAATGTATTTTAATTTAGTCCTCATGTAACGGGATGCCTTTGTAATATTCTGACCAGATGTGACATGACCATAGAAGTACTAGAGAAAGATTTAGCAGTAATGTGAAGGACGGTTTAGAGAGATCGAGACAAGTAGCAGCAAGACCCGGGGTGACACCAGTGCAGCAACTAGGTGAGCAGTGGCGAGGGTCTTGCAGGTTAAAAATATGCAATAAAAAAGGATCTTGCTTGATAACATAAACTTCAGAATTTGCTTCTGCAAGTTTCAGAGAAGTTCAAAAATGAACTTTTCCAGCATGCGACCTCTATAAATCAGTATGCATCTCTCTAGTTCATAAGACACTTTACCCAAACATCAACCACATATTGTGAAAATAAAAAGCATCCCAATTCACATGCTGATTAGTATTTTATTATCTATCATGGTGGTTCTGTTTATTAATATTTATGAACTTGCTTCTCCCAGTGGATTTTCAGAACATTGCCTCTTCCACACACCACATAAAAAACTGATCTTTTGAGATGACCTTTCAGAATAACTTTTCATTCTTATGCAAATATAACACATTCTTATTTCTATTGTACATTTAATTCCATAGTAACATAATATCAGTTACCCTGTTTATGTCTACACGACTCTTTAAAGAATATAATGTAAGATTTCTTTTCTTGTTCTCCAAATTTATACTCCTTTGTTTGCTATTATTAAATTCCAATTACGTGCACAAAGATACTGTCTCTTGAGATACATTTACTTAATGAGGGGTACAGTATCTATTTATGTGAATTGAGGCATCAGAACATATATTTGACACAGCCTGTGGTTAAGTTGTTTCTACATAATTTCAGTGCATCAATTTCTTTATTTGTAATGTAGTTTTATGAAAATTAGATTTTTCAGGGGGGATTTTTATTAAAAATAGGAATAACAATATAATACTATAAAATATGATAGAATTGAAATAGGCTTGCAATAACAC